TTTCTTCTTTGAAGTCGATATAATTCATAACAGTTGGAAAAACATTGTGGAGATTTCAGGCCAACTAAATGGTCCAAGTCTCTCGTTGTTTCAACAATAAGTAGACAAGTACCCTCTCATGCAGTATAACAGTTGTGTTAGAAGTTTCGAGCACAATACATGGACTCTTCTGCACCTTTTGGACTAATTTATTGGCATATTGATGGTAGTGAACCAAGAATTATTTATTTGGATATCTAAACTACACAACCATTCAAATACTAAGGGGTTAAATATCTATTTGGGTTTACTTCACAATGTCATCACATGATTCAAATCGTTCAATTTTCTACACAACATGGAGGTCATCATCGTTTTTGTAAGAAGTATTGAGTTCATCTATTTATTTGAGTGGAGTGGGCATAAAGTAATGGCTAATGTTGTAATAACTTGATAATAATAGGTTAGAGCTTTTGGATAAAAACTTAAAAATAATAATTAAGTAGAGGGGTTAAGAAGAAATATTGACATACTCTCATTTAAATATCGGAGATTTCAGGCCAACTAAATGGTCCAAGTCTCTCGTTGTTTCAACAATAAGTAGACAAGTACCCTCTCATGCAGTATAACAGTTGTGTTAGAAGTTTCGAGCACAATACATGGACTCTTCTGCACCTTTTGGACTAATTTATTGGCATATTGATGGTAGTGAACCAAGAATTATTTATTTGGATATCTAAACTACACAACCATTCAAATACTAAGGGGTTAAATATCTATTTGGGTTTACTTCACAATGTCATCACATGATTCAAATCGTTCAATTTTCTACACAACATTGAGGTCATCATCGTTTTGTAAGAAGTATTGAGTTCATCTATTTATTTGAGTGGAGTCGGCATAAAGTAATGGCTAATGTTGTAATAACTTGATAATAATAGGTTAGAGCTTTTGGATAAAAACTTAAAAATAATAATTAAGTAGAGGGGTTAAGAAGAAATATTGACATACTCTCATTTAAATATCACACTTACACGTTGAAGAAAAATTAATATTACAAGAAGTTTATAGTTCTAGTGATTAAGATCATTTATTTTTACTCCGGAAGATCAATATTCGACTCTTCTTCCTTCATAAGTGTTTGTATGACAAAAAATATAAATACTAACAATTTTATTCACTTTGGCATATGGTCAACCATAATATATGGCTTCATATCCTCAAATTAATTATAGCATGTATCATGGGTCACCCCATTTTTCCTTTCTATAATTCAAAATACACCATTATATATGAATATATAGCAAAAGAGACACTATCTTAGTCTAAATTATAACATGTACTGCACGTTGGATGAATTATTGCTATCTAATTAATACTTTACATTGAAATTTATTGAACTCAAACCAGTTTCTTAATTAACTAGTACTATCTGCTTCACACGCGGCAATACCATAACAATCTTATTAATTATAAGAACACTCGAAGACTCATCTCATAAGTGAGCGGTATAATCCATGCAGACATAGCTTGCTTCTTCAGCAAGAGGTCTGTTCATTATATTCTCCTTCAACTCGAAGTGCTGGCAAAAGGATTAGGAGGCATGGCGAGATTCTCACCTTCTCTTTCCAACATTTGAACTACGCAAAAGGATTAGGAGGCATGGCTAGATTATTACCTTCTCTTTCCAACATTTGAACTACAACTTTCATTGAAGGACGATCTATTGGATGCCATTGGATGCACCATAGACCCACAATTGCAAGTTTCCTAGCAATTGTTACATCTCCTTCGTCGTCACCGATATGGATCCGTAGGTCGTTGCCTTGCTCTAAAAGGTTATAGATCCATTCTGGGAAGTAGACTTGGCTAGTGGAGTCCTCCATGACTTTAAAGTTTTTTCTGCTTCCAACCATTTCAAGCAACAATATTCCAAAACTATAGACATCCGACTTATAGGAGACATTGCCGAAGTTCCTTGAGAAGATTTCGGGTGCAATGTAGCCCATGGTCCCCCTGGCTGTAGTCATCGATATTGCACTTTGATCCTTAGCACAAAACTTGGCTAAACCGAAATCAGAAACTTTTGGAGTGAAATCTTGGTCTAGCAATACATTATGTGGTTTGATATCGAAGTGCAGGATTCGTTGGTCGCATCCTTGGTGAAGATATTCAATTCCTTTAGCTATTCCTAGAGCGATATCTTGCAACTTATCCCAACCAATGAATGAATTCTTATTATCTACTGATGATAAGAAATTTTGCAAAGAACCATTTGGTAAGTATTCGTAAACAAGAGCACGAATAAATCCATCAGCACAAACTCCAACCAAGCGAACCACATTGACATGGTGGATTTGACACATTGTCCCCACTTCGTTGATGAAATCTTCCCCATTTTCATTTGAATTGTGTAGGATTTTCACAGCAACAAGTAACTCAGAGGAAAGCTTTCCTTTGAACACTGTTCCGTAGGCACCCTGACCCAACTTTTCCTTGAATTGACTTGTTATCCTCTTAATATCAGCATAGGAATATCTACTTGGCTTCATCGCTCTGTAATCATCCAAAAATCTTTCAATTCTAAGCCGATTTTCTTTTTCCTTTTTGTTTGAGTTGTAGACATAGTAGATTGTCTTCCCCATTGCTATTAGAACGAAATAGAGTGCCGAAATACCTGCAAATATTTTCTTTTTGTGTCAAATGTTTTTTTAAAGCGGTTTTAGCCATTTTAAACTCTCTTGAAAACATGCCCTTGATTAATTTCCTCACCATTATGTTCATAGAAGAAAGAAAAAGGAAGGAAAAAAAAGAGAAAGAAATTAGATGAAATGAAGGTCTGCGGATATAGCTCACCTAATATCTTCAGATTTGGCCTTCCATGATTACGACCTGTAAAAGTTGTTCATGAAATAACGGCCGGTTTTCAAATCAATGAAATCCAAAATTATAGTTTGCATAGAATCTTCAATTAATCTTGAAATTATAGTTGGAAAGTAAACTTGGAGTGTAAAATACCTTCGCAATGTTGACATGGTGGAATGGGCCAATTCAATATTCTTATCTCATCATCAGATAAATATGCATGATCTGATGTGTAGTCATGCACCTTGATACAGGACACTAGGGGCATGTCATGAATGTAACAAGAAGCAATGACAGCGTAAATATGGTTACCAGAATTGTTGCCATGGCATGGGCTCAATCTCGCCAGACAAGAATCAATACTGGAACAATATTCATCTCTCACTGTTGACGGTGGACAACTGAATAAGGTTGCGGTGCCTACGAATTCAAAGGGATAAGAACCATTACTGTAAAACAACTCCCTTGGCAAGCAACCATCATAAGCTCTTCCTCTAATTGCATGAGATCTGTAGTTAATCCAATCAACACGGAGCTTAGCTGACGACGATGGTAACTCAAGTATAGTCTCGTTGTCGTCAGTGCATGAAACATCAAATCCCCGGACGCCACAATGGATTGGCTGCCTACCTTGAAGTCGAAATGGGAATCGGATGGCTGGTTCTTCCGGGCCACATCTTGTTTCTATGCAATCTTCAAGGCCTACTTCGTGACCGTGACATCTTGTTTCGCTGCGATATTCTTCAAGGACTACTCCACCATTGACTGCATCTACTACTATTACGACTATCATGAGCAACCACCGTGAGAAATTCATGATGGCAAGAAATTATTTACAGATTACAAGTATCCTTGAAGATGATATGATATGGACTTGGGTTCCTTTTTGTTGTGTGGATTACTTGAGATGACTTGGGCCCCACTCCTTCTGGATGTTTTAGTCAATGGCCGACGGGTACGGTGATCTCTGAATTCTTATCTGATTATACAAAAATAAAAAAATAAAAAAATAAAAAAAATGACGACTTTATATTATATCTTTAAGGCTTTTTATCACAAACGGTCCTTGACGTTTGCGAAATTATCACATTTCGTCCCTAACGTTTTTTTTGTGACACTAATGGTCCTTAAGGTTGCAATACATTATGTGGTTTGATATCGAAGTGCAGGATTCGTTGGTCGCATCCTTGGTGAAGATATTCAATTCCTTTAGCTATTCCTAGAGCGATATCTTGCAACTTATCCCAACCAATAAATGAATTCTTATTATCTGCTGATGATAAGAAATTTTGCAAAGAACAATTTGGTAAGTATTCGTAAACAAGAGCACGAATAAATCCGTCAGCACAAATTCCAACCAAGCGAACCACATTGACATGGTGGATTTTACACCTTGTCCCCACCTCGTTTATGCAATCTTCCCCATTTTCATTTGAATTGTTGAGGATTTTCACAGCAACAAGTAACTCAGAGGAAAGCTTTCCTTTGAACACTGTTCCGTAGGCACCTTGACCCAACTTTTCCTTGAATTGACTTGTTATCCTCTTAATATCAGCATAGGAATATCTACTTGGCTTCATTGCTCTGTATTCATCCAAAAATCTTTCAATTCTAAGCTGATTTTCTTTTTCCTTTTTGTTTGAGTTGTAGACATAGTAGATTGTCGTCCCCGTCGCTATTAGAACTAAACAGAGTGCCGAAATACCTGCAAATATTTTATTTTTGTGTCAAATGTTTTTTAAAGCGGTTTTAGCAATTTTAAACTCTCTTGAAAACATGTTGATTAATTTCCTCACCATTATGTTCATAAAAGAAAGAAATTAGATGAAATGAAGGTCTGCGGATATAGCTCACCTAATATCTTCAGATTTGGCCTTCTATGATTACGACCTGTAAAAGTTGTTCATGAAATAAGGGCCGGTTTTCAAATAAATGAAATCCAAAATTATATTCTTCAAATTCTCATAAGCGATTATGTTGGAAAGTAAAGTAGGAGTGTAATACCTTTGCTATGTTCACATGATGGTATGGACCAATGCAGCGTCATCGAATTTGAATCTTTAGGGTAATGTGATATATAATCACGCACCTTGATACAAGACACTAGGGGCATTGATCCGAAGTCACACCCATAACCTTGATCCAAGACAGCGTAAGTATGGTTATTACCAGAATTGTTGCCATGGCATGGGCTCAATCTCGCCAGACAATCACCACCATAACTGCTGGAACAATATTCATCTCTTACTGTTGACGGTGGACAACTGAATAAGATTGCGCGGCCTACGAATTCGAAGGGAGAAGAACCATTACTGTAAAACAACTCCCTTGGCAAGCAACCATAATAAGGAATTCCTCTAATTGCATGAGATGTGTAGTTAATCTCTTCAACAATGAACTTAGTTGATGATGCCATATCGAGCAAAGTCGCTTTGTATTCGTCGCAAGAAATATCAAAGCCCCCGAAGCCACAATGGATTGGCTGCCTATCTTTAAGTCGAAATGGCCATCGGATGGCTGGGCCGTCTGGGTGACATCTTGTTTCTCCGCAATCTTCATGGCCTACTCCACCATTGACTCCTATTCCTATTACTACTACCACGGCCAACCACCATAAGAAATTCATGATGAGAACCCTTTCTAAGCAAATAAATCGAATTGCATGCAGATGATATAAACTCAGGGGTCAGTACTTCAATTTGATTACTTCAAGATGATATGGGCCCCACTCCATCTAGATGTTTGAGTCAATGGCGGGCGGGTCATGACTCATGACTCATAACTCATGCAACCCCTCTTCTTCTTTTTTTTATCTGACATTTTTATTTTTTATTTTTTTATTTATATTGTGGTTCCAAATTTGCCCCTAAGTATAAATCAGGTAAGAAGTGTTTTCATGATTTTATTTGGCCATTACAAGGCACCCTTTTTGTAAAATTGAACCTATATCTAAGAGTCCCTTTAAATTAACTGTACTAAATTGAAAATCTCTTTCTTCTGCTCTGACATCATGTCTAGAGGAAGTCTCCTATCTGCTGCTTACAGAGCCCTCCTCCTTCATCATCTTCTTCTTCTTCTTCTTCTTCTTCTTCTTGTTCCTTCCTCTTGTTCCCAAACAGTTTCCAATAATATTACAGCTAATAAAGCTCATGATAACTCTGATTGTACCCGTTCTTGTGGAAATATTAACATAAGCTCTCCATTCCGATTGAAAGGAGACTCTAAACACTGCGGCGACAGCAAGAAAAGCTTGGAGCTATCTTGTGAGGCCAAGGGAAATGGTACTACTCATCATGCAGTGCTATACTTTTTATCAGGAAAGTATTATGTACAAGCAATCAATTACAATAACTTCACAATCCGACTTGTGGATGCTGGTGTTCACAAGATCAAGGACAACTACTTCTCCCACCCACTCTACTCCTCTTCAACTTTTCTGATTATAGTCTTACTTTTTATGTATCTTTCCGATTATCAATAATGTCTATAATCTTCCTGAGCTGTGAAAATCCAATGAATCCTTCCGATCTCATTGTTGAAACAGCTCCATGCATCAGTGGGGTCAACAACTATTCTGCTTCCAATTCTTCTTTCTCCAATTTAACAACGTATTCTTATTTCATGAAATATTCTTATTCCAATCCAACAATAAGTTTATACAATTTGGGGGATTCCTGCAAAATAACACTAATGGTTATGGTGTCCCCTTCAACTGAGGAGCACATGACGTCTTGCAAAGGAATATATAATGAAATAGCGCATGGCTTTGAACTCTCATGGCTTGATTATGCATGCATAGGAAGTTGCGTGTATTATGGCTTTCAACTCTCATGACGGCTTTCAACTCTCAACGGCACTGGAATTGATCAATGCTCAGAACAAGGTTAGACAATTGCCAAACCCGGCCCACCTATAAAAGCCCGGCCCATGGGCTCACATACATATAAATAAATATATTTAAAAAATCCAAGTTAAATGAACTATGGAGAAAATCATTATCTATTATCATTGTAAGAATTTAAAAAAATGAAGTATGGGATAAAATATGATTTTATTAATATGGGGTTGTATAATTATATCTTTATATTTATGGAAAAAAAAAACTATGAAGTTATGAACAAAGAAAAAAATGGAGACATAATAAACATATAGACAAATGTAAATAGAGAACTATTAAAAAAAAGAGGAAACATAGAAACACACCAAAACATAGAAAAAATAAAATAAAGAATTGACAAAAATAAATACATATTAAAAAAAAAAGACAAAATAAAGTAGGCCCATTTAGGCCCGGCCCGATGGGCTTTTTCAAGCCCGCCATATGGGCTAGGCTTGGGCTTTGAATTTTTTAAAAAAAAGGGGCCTGGCCCGGCCTGTTATTTTCTCTCTCCTCTTTAAAGCCCGGCCCGGCCCTGCCCATTGACGAGGCCTAGTATTAACTGCCCTAATGGCTAATTTTGCGAAAATTGGATTATGCAGCTGTTTACTATCTGGAGGTTGCTTGCGTTTCGTCTGCATATATCTCTTTTTGCTCTTTGTTTCAAAATCACGAGCCAACTGATGCTTTCGTCTACATATATCTCTTTTTGCTCTTTGTAGAAAACGGAAACTGCAAGGCAGAAAACGAAAACTACATTGCAGAAAACGAAAACTGCAATGCAGAAAACGAAAATTGCAATGCAGAAACGGAAACTGCATTGCATAAAACATAACCTGCAATGCAGAAAACGAAAACATGAATAACCTATTTTACATTCTAGGTGGTCTTCAGTCTGATTCCCCCTCTCCCAACATGTCTTGAATAAAAAAAATATTGTTTTGTTTTGTTTAACTCTAAAG